GCTGCTAGGGGGGCGGGGACTCTCATAGCAGAGACGTCTCGTAGGTGGAAGGAGGGGGGGGCGGGATTGGAGGGGGGGGGGAGGGATTGGGTTGATGGGTGTCATCTCGTAGCGAGGACGGGTTATTGAGTGCTTTTTAAGGGCGGGGTGGGATTCTAGGATGTTGGTTTTATTATATCATTGAAGCTTGATATATATCTTTGGAGAGGGATAGGCTTTCGATATGAGCAGCTCTACCTTTATCAATACGTTCGCATCATTCAAACACTACTTATTCCGAAAAAGTACATGTCGAACTATAATATCCTGAAATACTACTCTATTCATTGATAAGATTTAAATTTAATTTCAGGTAGGAATTTTATTTAATATATATTTAATAATTATATAAATAAATATCTTTATTTGATCCTTTGTGACGGAAAAGTCGTAAACGGAGTCAATTCAATTACTTAGAATCTAAAACTAAAGAACTAAGAAGATTCTAAGTAAGAAGGTCTTTATATACAGGGCTAGTGCACGTGAGCCACTAGTGGGATAACAACCGTCACGTAACATCCTTTTAGTTTTTTTTTTAAAAAAAAAGAGTCTTTTAATTTAAAAATTTATATCTTAATTATAAATTTTGTTGAAATTAAGGTCATTATGGGCCTAGAATTGAGGTCATATGACCATTATGGTGCACGGACCATAATTGGGAATATCTTCAATTCTACCATTACTGTAACTTAGATCCTTAGTTTAACCTACATCTAATAATACTACTACTTCCAAACAACTCAGATTCAACAAATAAACATATTACATAAAAAATAAATAAGTCTAGTACTCTATTTTTGGACCACCCCTCCTTTGGACTACCTTTTTACATCAAAAATTGTGATTTTCATTGTTACAAGGGTAGCCGTCTAGATCACGTGGAAGTGCTCTAGGCTCTCGAGGTGGTTTATAACTAGGCGTCAAGCAGGGACTTAAGTAATGACAATGATGCAATTCGTAACTAATAGTAGAGTATACTAAATGATTGATGTTGATCTTGAGCACGAAGCTCTATACAAAGGGAATCCATCTTGATTATATAAACCTTCGTATTCCAATATTGGAGCGATGGAGCTGGGGAGCGAGATTCGAATCTCGCTCCTTCGCTCCCTCGTGTCACACTCAAGAATACTGGGTAAAGTATCTTGTATTAGAAAATACTAAGCTAAGGAGAAAAGAAGAAGGAAAACAAGAGTAGCGAGTTTTCCTGTGATTAAATACAAACGGGGCATGCCACGTGACCCGAAGGTGTGAGGCGTCACACCTCGCTCCCTCACAAGACTATTCATGTGATCCTATAACACGTGATAATAGTTTATAATGTTACAACGTAACAAATTATCCTTATAATAAAAATCTAAAAATCTCAATCTCAATTAAATTAAACTTAATATTCTCTCCTAATATTTTCTTCTTTTCTCACTTTCTCCCTCTTTTTTTATTCTCTCAAATCCCCAAATCCTCGAATCCTCAAATCCTCGAATCCTCAACGAGTATATACATCTACAAACACAAAAATAAATATACATAAATACATAAATACATAACACCTCTTTTATTCATTTCTCTCATTTATTTTTATTTCATCTCATCTCATCCTATCTCATCTCATTACCTTCCCTTCTTCCACTTCCTTTCCCTTCCTCCCCCCCCTCGCTTCCCCCTGCCTCTCACCAAACCACAAATCTAGACATCAATCCACAATCCAACATCAAATCATCGACCATCAAATCAATATTAAAATAAAAACAAGAAGTAGAAGTCAAAGTAGAAATCGAAATCGAAACATCTTCCATCCCAATATACCAGTGCCTGAAGTAAATAGGGCATACTACATCAATTGAATCGAATATTAATCGAATCAAAACATATCATATCATATCATAAAAAGCACCAAGCCAACCATCCATCCATCAACCAAACAGCCAAACCAACCAACCAACCAACCATCCCTTTCCTAATCCGAGGTATATCCTTCCATGGTATAAGGGTATCGGTTTCCCGTGGTATCAAAACAATTCTTCTTTTCCCCTCTTCCTCATCTTTCTTCTCCTTCTACATCACCACATCTCCTCCCTATCATCTTCAGAACCTCCCCTTTTATATTACTCATTCCTTTCACTCCTTATTTCCGCTCCCCTCCCTCTCCCCCTCAACCAAACCAATCAAAAGAAACAAAAACCCCACCCTATACCTAACCCCTCTTAACCGCACTCCCAACACTACTAATCCCATCACTAATCTTACTACTCCAACCACCCATCCACCTAGGAACCTTCATCGTTAATCTAATTCTCCCCTCCACAATCGCTTCAATACAATTAATAACACCAAACGCACTACTACCAATTGCTCTAAAGAGAGCCAGAGCCGCCACGGCCCAAAGTAAAAATGTCAAATAATAATTCGTACCCAGATGATTCGCTCCATACGCTTCACTAACACCCATTGCCAAAATACCATTCGCAATCATCCAAACGAGAACCATGTACGTACGAACAGATTTATAATAATCTTCCTGTTGTTGAGCTTCCGAGATGGGAGGAACAGGGACTTCGAGTCGATCACGTAAGTTACGAAGGGCTTCATCATAACCGGAATCAATGTCGAGTTGTTCCGATGGCATTTCAAGTTCGACCGTTTGACCTTTTCCAGAAGCGGCACCAAGATCAGTGGACATGACATTATCTCCTTTGGTTCCCCATGTAACATCGTGAGTATTGCAAAAAGCGTATACTTGAAGCGTACAAATGTAACTTGGGAGGAGAGCGAAATAAGAACCAGAACTCGTGAACATATGCCAAGGATCGAGATACAGGAATGACATGAGGAAGTAGAGACCAAGTGTTGAGCAAAGAGAAACAACAAGATTGGTGAATAGATTATTGCCTAGTTTGAGACTACCGGCATTATCATGAACTTCCCGGTAAACGATATAAATGGTTGAGAAAAGTGTATATACCATGATTATCGAATAAATAATCATGGACATATAATATAATTTTCGTGCTCCTTGTGGTCGATTTCCCATAGATAGAATGAATTGTGTTGCGGTAAGTAAAACACAGACATATTTTAAAATGTAGAATATATATTTTCCGATATTATGACCGAATGGATCCATATCCGGAACAGATAGAGAACCAGCAATGAAGTAGAATGTGAGGTAGAAGTTGGCCAGAGAGAAGTAGGTGAAGAGAAGTTGAATGAACTGATAGATGAATTCGATATGAAGAAGAACCTTTCGTCCGAGGGTATGATCTGTATGCCATACTTGTTTGAAATGAGCCAAAGAATAAACAGCTGCAAAGAACGCTCCATTAAGCCATCTTCTTCTTTGAGATACGAATTCAGGAACGGTATCTAGAAGTGGTTAGTAAATTTCAGAGAAATAAAAGTATTTAAACTTACCCGGCACATCAGTCTCTCCAGTACATCCCTTCACATACTTCAAAACCCATCTTTCATCTCTCTTAGCAACCAATTCCCAACATAAAATACGATCTTCCGCCAGATACATATTCGCAGTAAAGACATCTGCATTTTGACCATGTAAAGTTTCTCCTTTGAAATACTGACTTAAAGGACCATGACCCGTATGATCATTCTGCAAAGCATGATATCTGTATGCACTCAATGCACCAGGTAAGACGGTAATATAACCAAACACACTCTCGATAGGTTTATCCAGAATATTCGACATCTTATATTCGAAATTTTGAGAAGCCACCAAAGGATTAAGAAGTCCTAACCATCCCTTTCCTTTCATAGCTTTAATCTCTCCACAAGCACCAGCAACATTAGAGTCAGTATCAAAAGCTTTCCACAGATGATATAATGAATTGCCTCCAGGTTTTGTACCCACATCCAACATGATACAAATATTCGGTGTGAGAGCTCTTCCAAAAGCATTAAAAAACCAACGATGAGAATTCAACTTCTTTGCATTCTTCTCCTTGAGACAAAATAACATCTGACAAGGAACAATTCCTTTTTCAGCACCTTTAAACTTGAGGTCTGAATCTAAGGAGACTTGAGTTGTGTATTCATATACATGAGCTTGTACTTCTCGACCATTAACCAAATTTTTGGCAATTCCATCTTGATATACACCCATAGCAGCAAGAGCATCAAGTGTTCGTGGATGGATTTTTTGTCTTCCATCCGAAATGATGGCAACAACAATTTTTTGCCATCCATTTTCTCCCCAAGTTCTAGATTTAGATCTAGAACAAAAATGAGAAATATTCTTCATAACAGCATGCATGGTTCTCGTAAAATCAATCTCCGTCTCATTATACATGGTTATACATATAAAAAGTTCGGTTTCTCTTGCGGTTGCTCCCATATTTTGACGTAATTTGTATCCTCTCGCAACAAAATCATCCGGATCACATGTAACAGCTGTATATCGCATGTGTGTGAATTCAACTTCATCCCTTCGAGGTAAGAAACTGTAAAGAATAGTAGGAATTTTACATTCCAAAATAAGCTCTCCGTTAATGAGCTTAACCTCTCGTTTCGTCATTTGAGTCGTCCTATTAGCACCCCTTCGCTCTTGCTTTCCTGAAGGTGCTGGTCCATAATGTTCATAATCCTTTACACTTGTCATGTCATCGGCAAGAGTGGAGTATGATAGCCTTGATCTCATAGTTCGGTCCCCTAAATTTAAAGTCTGGACCTTCCGGCGCAAAA